GGGTACGGGTGCGGGTGCGGGTGTGAGGTGCGATTGGTGGTGCGGGTGGTGCGGGTACAGGTGCGGGTACGGGTGCGGGTGTGAGGTGCGATTGGTGGCGCGGGTGTGGGTGCGATAGATGGAAATGCAAATGGCAGTGTGAGCACGGGTGTAAACCTTTTGGCACGCAACGCGACACAAGATATTAAGCTATAAGGTTCAATGGTTGTTGTACGGTTGTACCGAAGTTGTACCTGTATATATATATATATTAACAACTTGTGTATTCACAACTTGTACCGGTACTGGTACCTTTGAAAGATTAGCATTTACATTGCGATTGTGTTTGTGTCAGACCTTCGGGAGGGGTGACAAAGAGGGAGTACTCGGTGGTAGTTTCGAGTAGCTTATAGTCATAGTAGTTCCAAGAGGAAGGAAAAATATGAACGTAAAGCACGCGCATTCATTTGCTAGCCCGCTCGATTCCTACCGATAACAATTTGCTCGATGAAATTGAACATATCAAGTTAATTAGATTAACTAACTGATTGGTGGTCAGTGGTTGGTCAGTGAGATACAACCTTCTCTGGTTCCAACAACCTCTAGGTAAATCAACTTGACATCCCGAGAAGCCAGAATGCAAATGCAAGAACCACGACTCTATATATCTAAATTCCACCGGTATTGCGGTGGACGGTAGAAGCAAAGACCAAAGAAAAACAATCTACTGTTTTGGCATTGTACTTTGTCTAGCAAGCTCTTCAATGGAGCCAGCTGCGCCATGCTTTGCAGTGGTCATGGCAAACGCCATTGAGCGCCGACGCAGAGGGGTAGGCAATGCGCATTCTATGCGGAGCAGGATGGCTTTGGCGCGAGCAGGCAAGTCTAGTTTCCTATCAACTATAGTTAGTTTCAATTTGGAGTTCAGTGGAGCAACCATGCAGCAACACTAGTTTGAGAAGTTGTGCTGGGAGGAAAGCGCAATCGGCAACTTCAAAGGATATTTTCCAAGAAGTTCAATACCACTAGGCTCAGTGTTTAGTGCTGTTTTGTGCATGCTGCATGAGTATATAATTTCAACTCTAACAACTCTCAAGATTTATTGGATGATTTGGAATCTGAACTTACGTTCTGTTCAGTGCTCTTGGACATCCTCCGCCAGGAAGAAGATCGATGCCTTCAACATGGACCAGGCCGTGAGACGCACCGACACCATCGACATTGAGGGCAGCGCGATCCGAAAAATCCGGGGCCGAGGAAGGATGTTCTTTTGTTTTTTTGAAATTGTAAATTTGTTCATCGGAAATGGGAATTGACACCTCTACGCTAGGACAATACAAGACTTGGACGAGCAGAACGATTCTTCGAGCAGCGTGACGGGCTTATCTACAGTCAGACTTACATATATAATAGTTTTTATAGTATTTTATGTAATACATTTTTATATAATATAATATAGTATATTTTTTACGTGTGCCACTGTGCCACTGCCGTTTTATGCCCGTGACTTGTGTCGTTGGCATGAGGCTAGGCAGATCCGTCAAGGGAATGCTATCCGAGACCAACAAGACCACAATCAGGATACGGAAGCGCATGCCGCGATTGAAATCAAAGTTACCAGTTGTGTGCCTTGGTTTGTCAACATTCAACCATTCTGTCCAAGAATCTTACTGTATATTCGCCGCAGTTTCAAATTGTTTTGCTAGTGTCGCAGGGTATGCCATTTCAATGCAGATCTCTCTGTTCTGCAAGGTTTTCACTTAACTCCGTGGCATACTGGATGGGCGGCAGTCCTGACACTGTGTCCAAGGCAAGTGATAGGGGATTCACATTGCCGTTTGTTGCGCTCTTGCAGGATCATCTACTTTAATATGCATTGATGCTTTTATGTTTGGACTTGGAGCGTGTAATGCCAGTCGTTGTGAGAGAGTGTTTGTCAGAGAAGAATGTTTTTGTAGGCTCAGAAGTCAGTTGCCAACGTCTACTTGACTAAACAAAAGGACATTGTCACTCAGATGTTGAATCACCCTCAGGACAGGACATGCTGCTTCCGCTTAGTTTGTTGAACGCACATATTTGAGATGTCATGAATTTGCCTCATGGTTTCACTACAGCTGATTCAATCTTGTCGACAGGAGTTTTCATCGATCGGCTTGCATCTGGAATTCGACGAGACCGGTCAGAAGATGCAGGTCAGATCGGATCTTTGTTCCACCACGACAACAATGGCTGTGCTAGCGGCTTCCTCAGACTGTAGTGTTTCATTTGATTCTAGTTTGACCGCTTGACCCAGCCATTTTGTATTCTAGGTCCAGCCATGTCCTCTCAAGGTCTCAAGGTCTCAAGGACTACGATCTTCGCTACCAAAGCAGGAGGTCGGACTACGCGATTGACCGTCCACTGCTAAGAGACACGATATAATAGAATGATGTGTATGATTAAAACAAGTCAAGAATCCAGCAACTTTCTCCAAGAGCTTTTGCTGAACTGAGATTGTGAACCCTCCAGCCGTATTGCGACGGAAGGCGGCAAAGTCTTTATGGAAAGGCATTGTCGCAAAGCAGCCCGTTGAACCCTTCAGCAATTTGGATCAATAAATAATGCGCTCTTGTACCAGTCGTTCGCATGTTGTATCAGCATGTCTTTCCTAGTTTTTTCTCACACTTGGTCAGGTTTGGCGGCTTCTTGTGATTTAACGGTGGCAACCTTCGTATGCGATTCTGCCACAGCGAATCAGCTCATGGTTACTCTTGTTGGACAGTCTTCTCCTGCAAATGCTTTGGTTGCTGGCCAAGAAGGTTTGGCTGCTGTTGTTTTCAAAAGGCTTGTGAGTAGGTACTTGCACTGCGCAGGAAAAATGTGTATGTGCCAGTGTGTGCCAGATGTGCTTAGGTTAGCCGACAGCCTTGTATGGTGTTTGGGCCTCGGTTAAAGTTTGAGTATTACTATTAACTATTCACATTGATTGGTTAAAGTTAAGGTCCAGGTTACAAAGTTGCGTTGCGTACATGTCTGAGTTGACACTTGCAAGGCACGAAGTCAATCATTGTTCGGAAGTGGCTCTCAAGACTCTTGGCGATCTTGCACCTATGCGCCTCTACTAATTGATTGTAAAGATGACGTGAATTGCCGCACGCTCGGTACAAGTTGCACGGGATGTTTTTCCAAGGTTTGGGCTCTCATCGTTGTTTGCTCAGGAAGCATGTTTCTAGACCTGCTCCTACATGCACGTTCTGTGCTGAATGCAAGATTGGTGATCTCCTATGCGCCGTGAGAAACTTACTTGCCAAACATCGTCAGCCCAACCCAACCCAAACACAAAACAACTGTGACTATAATCATTCATCACACAACCAAGGCCAGATCCAAGGAACCAAAAGAGTATGGGTTGGGTGTTTCCAGTTCCCAGATTCCGACTTTCCCTTCCCTAGCGTCTTTTTTTCCCAGAATCAGTTTTTGGGTTCCCACAATCGGATTTTGGGTTCCCTTGGTGATTTTTGGTTCCCGCAATCAGTTTTGGAGTTCCCTAGGTGATTTTGGGTTCCCTCCACGGTATTTAGGGTTCCTGCCGTTCTGTCTCTTTCCTTTTGTGGTGCTTGCATACTGTAAGCAATTGCGCTAGCAGGTGGTGCCCAATGGCAAACTAGCCCCGTTAGTACTTCTAGTATTCCTTGGTCAAACTAGCTCCGTCACTACTTCTAGTATTCCTTGGTTGTTGTCCAGTCGCTTTCCTTTTGTCGCCTTTTGTCCCATACTTAGTCACGCCAGTTGGTCTTGGCTCAATTTGACCTTGGTCCCGCCTTTCAATGCCATGCCGTCATGGGAAAATCTCGACGAGGCCCAAAGGTGTATCTTTCAACTTGCTGCGCAACATGTTCTTGCTAAATTTGTGGAACCCCCCTTACCGCTGTGTGCCCACCGGAAGCAATAACCCATTTGCTCATCACACATTGGACACACGACTTGACTGAGGACTCCCACATGCTTTCCAATTCAGACAAATGGGTTGTTGAGGAACTTGACCGGCGTCGTGCAAAACAGAAGTCAATAGATGACAATCAGAAGGACAAGACTGCAGACAGTGCACGATGGCCGGAGCAACACAGTACACTAGCAGAGAAGTGCTTCCTGGCGTAAGGGTGTGGCGGATAGTGGTAACACACTCCCACAAAAATGAGGTCAGGTTAGGTTAGGTGAGGTGTGCATTGTGAATGTTGAAGACCGGACTATGTATCTACTGTACTAGTATAGGCTAGTAATATGGCGATTACCACTCAACTCTACTACTACGACGGCGACGGACGACGACGACGACGACCACGACGACGACGACGACGACTACTACTACTACTACGACTTTGCCAACAGCGCCACAGCCGCCCAATTCCCAACACCCTCTGTTCCCCTTCACTGCTGCTTCTAAGATGGTGTACAGTGGCCGCTCCAGCCCAGTGCAGAGCTTGCAGCTTCTGAGTGGTTCAACATTCTCCCTCCAAGGGAGAAAGAGGTCCCTTGACTATTGCTTTTTATGTTTGTTTCCGGGGTTACGTAAAAATACATATATATTATATATATATACATAATGATAATATATATATATATGCTTGCTTTTACCCTAAAGACACAATACAAACAAAACGAATCGTACTGGCCTACAATGTAACAAAGTCCTTGCAGGTCTTGTGCTTTGTGGAGATCATGAGTCAGCAAATCACGTCTTCAGAGGAGAAAATCCAATTTGTGGATATATCACAATCAGCCTCACGTTTGCCTACATCCACCAAAGGTTCCAAGGCTATGGAAGTTCTGTTTCATCGTATATTGAACTAGCCATAACTGAACAGGTTTCTTTGGACGTTGAAAACTGTGGACAGGTAACACCGACAATTCTCCCTGGATCAAAGCTCTGGCATGTTGAACGCGGGAGGCTGCTACTAGGAGCTTCAATCTTTTCTCTGTTTAAACTCAATCTATTTTCTTTAGTGCTCATGTCATTTTAACTAGGACTCTTCGCTGAGTGCACGAACGCAAAGTAAAGTGCGCAAAGCGTGCAGGAATCGAGATGATGTCTCTCCAAGGGCTACCGGCTGGACAATTCAAATGCAATATCCTGGAGACTCTGTCGCAAAAGCAGTGCGCAGATATGGCCGGCGACATGCCCGATACTTAACAAACGCATGCTAGTTGGTAACTAGTAACGGCCCTGGCTACTAACCAGCCTCAATGACTACTTACTTACTGCTTACTACTGCTACTACGCCGCTTAGGTTCGCAACTCCTTGCATCATGGCCGTTGTCATCTCTATCCTTACTGCCATTCGTTTCGAAACCGAAAGCGAGGCAGAGGAGATTCAACACGTTTCACGCTCTATGCAACAGTGGTGTAAGAGCTGAAGTGTGGCATAGTGCCCACCATTAGTACAGAGAGAAAGAACCACCGGTGCCACCGTGCGCAGAAATGGGTGCTTTCCAATGGGCTCGCTGTCGCAGCTTGTGAACTTGTGAGTGATTTCTGCAGACTGTTGATGTGATGTGTGTAAGAAAGACGATTGAGAACCAAAAGACGGGCATACGGTATATGAGAAGAATACAAAACATGTAAAGTAGAGAGGTGAGAAAGAGGTGAGAAAACAAAGACTGTGGATGCCCGTACCTCTACCTACACTCTGCACCCTACACCCACCTGCACCCGCGCCCCTACCCGCGCCCAGCACTCGTACCTTGTACCCGTACCCGCACCTGCGCCCGCACCCCTACCCGCCCCCAACGCTCGTACCCTGTACCCGTACCCGTACCTACCCAACGTACCTTTATATCGTACCCACTCCAGACTTACCGATAGAGGATTACTCTTGAGGATAGCTAAATACATACATACATACATACATACAGACAGACAGACAGACAGACAGACCTACGTACGTACATACATACATACATACATACATACATACATACATACATACACACATACAGACATACAGACATACAGACATACATACAGACATACAGACATACATACATACATACACACATACAGACATACAGACATACATACAGACATACATACATACATGGCTCAAGCCACGAGTGGTCCAAGGCGGTCCCATACAAATCCGGATACAGGCAGAAAGCCATAGACGTCCGGGACACCGTGCGCTGCACTGGATCTTTGCCCGTGATCACAGGTGAACACCATCCTAGCTCCTGAAGAGTTCTTCGGTGGCTGGCAGCGCTCGCCCTGGATTTTCTCTCCAAGATCCTGCTGAACGAGAGCTACCAACACCAACCACCTTCAGGACAAGGCCTACTACCACTTTGCCCGTTATCCCTTTGAGATAAAGACCCTTCCAGGCCAGAACGTAGAGGGCAACGGCAACCTTGCACCATGGCTCCTACGAACTCCTGGTGTCGAAGCTACACCGTCTGCGCCCACAAGCAGTGCACCAACTGGATATGGGATGACAAGAAAAATCCAGGCGCACGCTGCAGAAAATGCGGAACATGGTGGCGACAAGGGACCTCACCTACAGGAAAAGGCAGAGGTCAAGGCCATGGCAATGGAGCAAAAATCTACACCAATACAGCCTGGCCAAAGAAGAACTCGACAGATGACCTCCTGGACAAGCCACCGGGATTGAACAAGCTCAAACCCCTAAAGGAGAACAAGACACAGCAGACTGCAGCTGAACTCCTGGCTACCACATGGGAGGTGATTCCAAGTGACATCCAAGGCAAGTTACAAGCACTTGGATACGGACCGCCTCAACCAGAAGAACCAGGACTCGCTGAAGTTTTGCAGACACACCTCAATGCTCTTCCTCAAGCAGTCCAGGCTGTTGTCAACAAGCTCAACCAGCCAATCCCGGATACAGAAAAAGCGCTGGCACAGAAGCTCAAGACACAAGTCACGGAGCTCAAGACTATCTCCATGAAGAAAGCGCAGCTGCAAACAAGGCTGGGCCAGATCAAGAGCCAATATGCCTCCATGTTGCAAGACATGCAAGAGCACCAAACCAAGCTCACCGAAGGCCAACAGAAGCTCAAGACTTTGTCCGAGCAGTACACGCAAGCTGTCACCAAGACACCTAAGCCAGATGAATTGGGACCTCAACAGGACCAAGAACTGCCCATCGCAATGGCGGTGGAAACCTTTGTCACCAGCCTGGGCATAGCTCTCACTGAAGAGCAGCGCACCCAGCTACATGGCCTACTCAAGCGGCCAGTTCAGGAGGCAGAAGACCCCAGCAAGCGCAGAAAAACCACTGCACCACTGCCGCCGGGAGGGCAGTGCGGGTAACAACAACCAGTTACCACTCCAGGGTTTTCAAGGGATCCAGGTGCCGGTACCCCTTGATGAATTTGACTTGGCACCACAACCCAATATGGTTTGCCGCGCTGCCTCAAGCTCAGCGCAGGCGGGAAAGACTCAAATGGTACCATGTGCAGGGAAAAAGACACATCACCATTTGCGACCACTTTTTCAAGTACCAGATTCTTTTGGGGACACTTCAACCAAGGCCAGAGAAACGACCAAGGCTTGAGCAGACCCACAACCAGCTCCACTTCGCCAATGTCACCAACTTTGGCAAACAAGTACTCGATTGGTACTGGTCAAGACAAAGTGAGGTGTACATCTTTGCTGAGACACATCTCGATCCACAGAAGCACCAACAAACCTGTCAATACTTCACCGCAAGAAGCAGGACAGCGTTTGGAACGCCAGCTTTGACCAATGAGGACAACCCGGGCACGCATGGACGACTTTTTGTGCTTGGTGACCCGTCGTGCGGTCTGACGCCACTGGAAGCTTTCACCATCCAAGGATGTGGATACCAAGCCTTTCTTTGGCAGGCCACTGAATGCACCATTCTCGTGGCAGGAGTCTACATGAAGACTGCTGAAAATCTCCAAAGTGAGACCAATGCCACCATACTGGCAAGACTCCTGGCCCTCATCGAGGCGACGAACCACCCCTATGCCCTCTGGCAAAACAGGCCTGGAAGCATCGCCAGCACAGTGCTTCCCTCCAAGTTCCACTTCGAGGTCCTTGCCCCTGACCATAGCATTCCTTCTGGCAACGTTATTGACTACGCCCTCATGCACAACACTCTTGCTGGCACCACTGCTCTCACAGCTGACTGGGCAGTTCCATGGAGGCCACACGCCCTCCTCACGCTCAATTTCAACATTGAAGCAGCCACCAAAGAGCACAGGCAAATCCAATACTTCCCGCCCATACCAGCCACACCTGACATTGATCTCAGGCCCTGGACTTCGTACCAATTTTAGGCCTTTGAGGTTGAGGCGTGCGGAAACCCACCCAATGCCCTAGCACAAAAGTGGGCGGATTTGATTTCACGCACGGAGCAATACCTGCTACAAGAACACCCTTGGGCAGCCCAAGGCAAACCACTTGTTCCCACCAAGACTGTAGCCACATGGAAAAAAGGGAAGCCGGAGACACTCATGGCAGAGCTTGTCCAGCATACGATTGGCCATCAGCTTCATGAATCACAACAAGCAGCCGACGATGAAAACCACCTCCCATACAAAGAATGGCTGAAGCAAGGACAAGCCAAGGGAGCAGGACCCAAAGGGTCCCCTCCTCTCAGCGAGTTCTTCAAGAAGAAGAATGACGCAAACAGTCAAAGCGAGGGGGAACACAAGCAGCCCCGGCAGACTACAGAGCATGAGCCTGCAGCCAGCACAAGACCCACGCCACGAAGGCTACACTTTCCCACAGCTCTCGATGACCGAGACGGGGAGTCCACAAGCCCACAAGGTGACCAACAAGAGGCTCATGACAATGACAACTCCGACGCAGAAGGCCCCAACTACGTCACGGTGGACTTCTTCTGAGCGACCACTGAGAGGGCAACCAGTGAGGCACAGCCCTAGGCTACTGCCAAAGAGCCAGCGCGTCCACTTTAGGAAAAACAAGATGGAACCCACGAACCCGAATGGAAACACCTTCGAAAAACTACATATGTCCAAATGACACTCTTGTAGGGCACTCTTGTGGGTCACTCTTGTAGGAAACCCTTGTGGGACACTCTTGTAGGGCACTCTTGTGGGACACTCTTATAGGACACTCTTGTGGGACACTCTTGTGGGACACTCTTTTAGGACGCTCTTGTGGGACACTCTTGTAGGACACTCTTGTGGGACACTCTTGTGAGACACTCTTGTAGGACACTCTTGTGGGTCAATTGCAAGACACTCTTGTGGGACACTCTTACACGACACTCTTGTAGGACACTCTTGTGGGACACTCTTGTGGGAAACTCTTGTAGGAAACTCTTGTGGGACACTCTTGTAGGACACTCTTGTGGGACACTCTTGTGGGCCACTCTTGTAGGACACTCTTGTGGGAAACTCTTGTCGGACACTCTTAAGGGACACTCTTGTGAGACACTCTTGAGCGACACTGTTGCGGGACACTCTTGTGGGGCACTCTTGTGGGACACTCTTGTGGGACGCTCTTGTGGGACACTCTTGTGGGACACTCTTGTAGGACACTCTTGTAGGACACTCTTGTGGGACACTCTTGTGGGACACTCTTGTGGGACACTCTTGTAGGAAACTCTTGCGCGACACTCTTGTGTGACACCCTTGTGGGACACTCTGAAAGGACACTCTTGTGGGACACTCTTGCGGGACACTCTTGTAGGACACT